TTCTTAAAGGCTCTATAGAACCCCCCCAACAAAGAAAAACAATAATGAGAGAAAAGGGGTTTTCCACATAAATGGCTGAAAAACTACTTTTCTATTTTGGAGGTTCCTGACATACTGAGCCAAATCTTTTATTCTCCTGAAGTGGGGCTTATGGTTTCCAAGTGTCCCTGATGGTACTTTCAGTTACCACTACAAGATGTTAAAAGCCAAAACACAAATACTCAAGTTGGCCCTTGAAACAGTTTGTTCACCATTAAGTAAGTGGTCAGAATGAATTTAGTGTTTAGCAGCACACACAGAAAGGATGGCTCTTGCCCTCTAAAAAAAAATAAGTAAACAAAAAGGAAAAGTAAATCAGAGTCTTGGCATTCCAGATCGTTCCTACATAATTTTGACTGATAACAATGGGCACACTGCCTATTTTTTACTGATAAAACATTCAAATACATCTTGTTTATGCTCTTGGCAGAATGGGCTGCACACACTGCTTGGTCCTGTTTCTCCTCATAGACATAAAGGACCACAAGGTTAAGAAGCAGATACAAGGTAACAAGTGGAAAGAGGCTGTGCTGCAGGAACATGTTCATATGCTCACCCCTACCATTGCTCTCAGATAAGGCTACAGTATACTGCAGATTAAAGTGACCGGATTCATTAGTATCCTGCAGAGACAGAGGACACCCTCAAATTCAGCCATGAGACTGTGGTGGGAATTGCACATGTGGGGATAGTAATTCTCACATTGAGACCATATCAGACTTAAGAAATTCTCCTTAAGGAACCCTCTACCCTGTGGTTTTCTGATTTCCTATTCAGATCATCATCTCACGGAATGTCATACATTTAGTCACCTAAAAAAAGGCTGAGCAGGAGGATCTGGCTAAGGATGAATAAGAAGCCTTTACTGTTAAGTTATGCAGAGGTTTCAATACACCCTGACCGAGTCAGGGTTCCCTGGACTTCTGACAGCCACATCTAGAGTAAAACCAGAACCATTTTCAGGCTCCCATAAACACCAACTATTGCTTCTTGGTCAAACTCCATTCCCTCTAGCACCCCTTCCAAAAGATGACCTAACCAATAATTGGTCATACATGAAATTCTCTAGAACCACAAATCAAATCACCTAAAATTAAACTGAATATTTATTCCTGAATTATCTGAGATTTGCTTTGGAACAATCCAATTGCAGGACTGGGGAGTGAGTTGGGTACTAATGAAACAATATTGGTCATGTGTTGATAATTCTGAAAGCCAGATAATAGACACATGGGAGTTCATCAGATAATCCTCTCTACTTTTGTTTATATTAGAAAATTTCCATAATAAACAGTACTTTTTTAAGTTTAACTAAAAAACATTAGAGTACATGTTACCAGATGAGTTAGGGGGCTTGTTTTCATTCCCTTGCAGGAAAACTCATCTGACAATAAAATTCTTTCTCTTGGTGATCATACTAACCAGTACAACATAAAAAGAGGTTTAAAAGAAATCTATCACTTACATGCAGTATCACCCCTTTGTCCAGTAAACTCTGCTTTTTGGCCGTCATTACAAAATAGTGTGTGTCATCTTTGTAGTAGACGATGTTCTCCAAGTCAATACCTGCAAAACAAAAATGTTGAAGGTATATTAGGGCAGCCAGAGAGATTGTATGTGGGTCCACAGAGACCAGGGTTGTAAAACCCTAAGCAGGAAAAGAGAAAGCAAAAAAGATGTCTGAGTCCAGATTCTCACTTCCTGAACATTCGGTTCATAAAAAGAGGGGGAACTTTGTTTATCTTTGTACTGCTCTGTAACTCACTTGACACTCTAAGTTATCCTAAAAACAATGATCAATAGTAAGCAGAAATATATAAAGATTGAAAGAAAAAGAAAGATTAACCCTTAGTAAGACGGTCTGGGTTAGTTATCGGGTTAAACCTCTTTTATAGTCATCAAGGCAACTGGGGGAATCTCCTAGAACTGGAAGCAGAGAGTGAACTACTGGCTTTTAATTTCAATTAATCTAAAAAAAATAGATGTAATGGAAAGAAATCATGTTCTAGAAAACAGAGAATTAGAATCTGCTGTACATTTTTGTTGCATCGAAACATCTAAGTTAATTTATTCAAAAGCTATCATATAAAAATCTCATTCCTATCTAGCATATGGTTTACTTCAAGACCAAAGTAGAACTTAGTAGACAAAGTAGTACACTCAATGCCTAAAGTCAGGTTCTCAATAAACCAGAGAACTACCAGCCAATAGGTTACTGCATTAAACCACTTAGAGCAGTGGTTCTCAACCTTCCTAATGCCGCGACCCTTTAATACAGTTCCTCATGTTGTGGTGACCCCCAATTTCATTGTTACAAATTGAACATAATTAAAGCATAGTGATTAATCACAAAAACAATATGTAATTATATATGTGTTTTCCGATGGTCTTAGGCGACCCCTGTGAAAGGGTTGTTAGACCCCCAAATGGGTCTCGACCCACAGGTTGAGAACCGCTGACTTAGAGCCACAGTGTAGAGGAAGGGGTAGGAGAAGAGTTGGTAAAAGACAGCACGAACACTTAAAAACAAACACACAAATATAGTAAAAACCCAATCCAGAGTATCTCAGTCCCTGTGATGAGGATAAAGAACATTAGAGTAGCAATCAGTGATGGAAAGCATTACACTTAGAACAAAGCATGTGAGTGAGGAAGGAGCAACGGGTAAATGACACAGTAACACCAATGATTACCCAACCACCAAACTATCCAAGAGAAAGCCACAAGTAGTTATTTAAAGTTCTATCCTTATTGCTTTCAAGGCACTGATACCAACCTGTAGCTTCCCTGAGCTCCTGGAAAAATTTTTGGTTGAATATGAAAGCCACTCCACTGATCTCTTCCACTTTGGCTTCTGCTGTTGTATTTCGGTTGATAAAATTTGCTGTAATGGCAATGGCCAGTTTGCCTCGAAATTCCTTCCGACGAAATCCTGGAGGGAAAGAAATTTTCAGATGTGGCAGCAGTTGGCTAGAGAGGAAGGAAGGTCACTTCAAACAGGAAGCGGGTATTGATGATGACATTTGGGAACATAGGTGATAAAAATCAATGGAAAAATTTTAGGGCAGCTCTTCTCAACCTGAAAATAAGGTGTTTACCCATCAAAGAATATAACAATCCAGAAAAGAAGTCAAAGTCTCCTGCACACTAACAAAAAATTTGAAATCTGACTAACCAGAATGTTACTTAATACTAGGAATTCCATTTTTTTTTTAAAAAAAAGGGAAGCCATCTTTTATTAAGCTGAGATTTAATCCTGTAGTGCCAACTGCTCTAAGTATAGCTTGTCTCTTAGTACCCTAACAAGATTACCCTGTAAGAAGTAAACCAAGTACCACTTGGCTAGAAAGACTGGGGCTGCCATTAAATTAGAGTAGGTAGCACACATATGTGGATCCTCTCTGATGACACAAATTCTCACCCCAGGGTTTGGAGAAGGTCACCCTTCACTCTGCAATAAACCAGGAAAAGGAATAATGACCAATACCTTCCAAGGTGTTCCTACGGCCATCCCCTCCAATGATCACTTCAAATTCATATTCTGACACAGGATGGGTTTTAGGGTGCACCAGTGCCCGCCAACCTATCCCTGTAGACCAAAGTAAAATTGAAGGTTGTCACCCAGATCATATTCATACACCTAAGACATCTCAAGATACCCAGGTAGGCAAACACCAAGCCAAAAACAGGTTTAAAAGCATGGGGTACAAACCACAGAAAGAAAGAGGCCTCACAAAGGAACGTTCCCACCATACAATTTTCTATAATGAATACAAGTGCCTGCAATGTCTAATACTATCTCAAAGGCCTCTTCATTAAATCAAAAGTTCCTCAAAAGATACTGGCTATACAGAGAAGCCCTTTTTAAGTAGTTCTGAAAACAACCCACAGATTCCTATAGTTTTCTGCTTTGATCTCACCTTTTCTCACCCATTTGATGCCCTTTTATCCCTACTCCCCCCTTTTCCAATTCAACTCACGTTCATTTTCTTGGTCCTCAGGAGGGTGTACAAGTCCTTGGAATTCTACACTGACATGAATTTCAATGCCTAGGATCAATGCTACTTTCAAAAGTATTAGTTGAAGCTGACGGATACCTGGGTAAACAAAAAGATAACACAAGTTAGGGCACATTGAAAAAAAGAGTACCAGTTAGCAGTCACTGCTCAGGTTTCCACCTGTCTACCTATGCAGAGTTTATCCAGATTCTCAACGCTTCCTATAACAGGAGACATTTTCCAAGCCATGTTCCACAGCCTCTTTCTTTACTAAGGGCAAGAAATGCTCTAGAGCAGTGGTTCTCAACCTTGGCTGCACATTAGAATCACCTGGGAATCTTTTTAAAATCCTGATTTCTGGGCTTCATCCTCCGGAAATTCTGTTTCTTTGTTACTAATGTTGTGGCCCCACCCCAAAACAAAGAAACAGAATTTCCGGAGAATGAGGCCCAGAAATCAGGATTTTAAAAAGATTCCCAGGTGATTCTAATGTGCAGCCAAGGTTGAAACCACTGCTCTAGCTCTAGAGAGGCACACAAGCCCACTCCCACCTCTTGGGTGAGATACAGTGGGGCCTTGACTTACGAATTTAATTAGTTCTGAGACCGAGCTCGTTAAGGAGCTCATTAACTCAAATTACTCTATCGACTCAATGCAAAAAATCGGTGGAGAGACAGCTGGTATCTCAAAAAACTCGTTAGTCGGGACACTCGTAAGTCAAGGCCCCACTGTATTAAAAATAAGCAAAAGCTCTGACATAACACGAAATTGTGGCCAACAGGAGACTCTACTTTCTATGCTCTCCTGATTCAGTTAGAGCCACAATTATTTAGCAGAACCTACAATACTTACAGGACATGGTAGTTACTAGAAGAGGTAGAAGATATGCACCCACAAGTATGCTTTCCAGTTAGATCCAAAGGGGGCTGTACTACTTCCTGGGATTCCAGATAGTTCTCCTTCATCTTATTACCTCACTGATCTTCACAGATGCTTAGAGGTGAGACGGGGAACTTCAATGCAAGTTTAGTAGTCTCTTACCATTCCCCCTCCCACTACTGGTCTATAGTTGCAGAAGCTAAGGTTCAAAATGAATGAAAATCTTGCTCATTATCCTAGTGAGATTTATTTATTTAACCAGTTAACTGCCATGATATTGTGAATTTAATTAAAAAAGGTTCCCTGCTTGCATCTATAGACGCTTATGGCGTACAAATGGTTAATATTCAGTGAGTACCTGCCAGATGCCAGACACACTAGATAAAAATCTAGTCCCTGATGTAGGACACAGCTCCAAGACATATCCTGCCATACATAAGGCAGACAAATCCACTGAATGAATGACCTTTGGTCCTCTCTTAAGACCAGTCCTACCTGCAGCCTGTGGCTAATGTGCTAGGAGTGCATGCAAATCCTCCTCTAGATCATTTGGTTATTTTCCCCAGGTTTTACAACCTGACTCATTCAGAGTCACACATGCAGTGACTCATTAAATCCCATGTTAGCACACATTTTATATTTGCAGACAACTGGGTTCCAAGATGCTTTAAACATTACAGCCCAATAGGTGGGCAGAGTGCTTCTTCTGCCTAGGGAATGTGGCAGCTGTGGCCAGTGTTTGGTAAACTGGCACAGCCACTTCAAACAGCAAAAGGTTTAATAGTTGACTGTATTTACAGGGCACAACTGAAGGAGCTCAGAACAAAAGTTCCTTGATAAGGTTTCTCTGGAATTAATGATCACACTTCAACCTCATAATGTAGACACTGTTTTCATGAACACGCACAGTCATGAAAACAAAATCACTGACTGCATTAACTTGTATTTACTTCAAAGCTTGAATATGACAAGAGTATAGCAAAAACTCTCTGGGCTGTAGACCTCATGAGAATCATCTAACCCAGCGGTTCTCAACCTGTGGGTCGCGACCCATTTGGGGGTCGAACAACCCTTTCACAGGGGTCGCCTAAGACCATCGGAAAACACATATATAATTACATATTGTTTTTGTGATTAATCACTATGCTTTAGTTATGTTCAATTTGTAACAATGAAAATACATCCTGCATATCAGATATTTACATTACGATTCATAACAGTAGCAAAATTACAGTTATGAAGTAGCAATGAAAATAATTTTATGGTTGGGGGTCACCACAACATGAGGAACTGTATTAAAGGGTCACGGCATTAGGAAGGTTGAGAGCCACTGATCTAACCAAAGAACTCGCATTATCAACTTGCCATTCACCAAAACTAGGAGTCTGCTTCTTCTATAACCGTGGTTTCCCCAGCTGTGTCCTCATAGCTTTTGTTCTTATACTAGTACAGCATCTTTCATATCACATTCCAAAGAACTGCATGCTTTGTTCTGCTTCTACTGGACTAAGAATCACCAGAGTCTAATCAAGGCCCACACTGGTCATCCTATTTCCTAGCCTGGCCCCAATGTCTATCCCACCATTGTAAGTGTTAAATAAGAGTCCAAGATCTAACTTAGAAATCCCTAAGCTAAATTCTGTGTAGTTAAATCTTTCTAGGTTACAGAACAACACATGGAAGGTATTTTGACTCCAAGCAGAGTGTGTTTCTATACAACAGATACTAAAAGAACTGGTTTTACTTACTGATATGGTCAATGGCTCCAGCACAGAACTTGCCATAGAACTTCTTGGCACCCAAACCTCGCAGATCATGTATGGTGAATGGCCAGAGATGCAAGACATTGTTGCGGGAGAAGGCATCTCGTTTCTCAATAACAACTACCTTAGCTCCCAGTAAGGATAAGTCGATGGCTGTGCGGAGACCACAGGGGCCAGCTCCAATGATGAGACACTGAAAAACACAGCTGTTTTTAGGGCAAAGGCAGCATCTCTTGAGAAAGCTCACACTTCTAGAAAAGTTTCATGATCTCATAACCATCATTCCCTAAAGCCCCAAAATAGGGTTATTCTCTCCACTTCCAACCAATCTGGGCCACAACAGAACATTTGCAATGGTTTGAAGAAAAGCTGGTGGTGGCTATGAATAAAAAAGACATAATTGTCAGTGCCAGATACAAACTTAGCACATGTTCACCCTGTAGATCTGCAACATATTTAAATGGGTCATAGTTTCAACAAACGATTTAAAATCACATCTCATTTTCATCAAAAGGAGAGGATCTTTTGTTTTTTGTTTTTAAATATATTTTTACTAGAGGCCCGGTGCACAAATTCATGCACCAGTTAGATCCCTCGGCCTTTCCTGTGGGATGGGGCAGAAACCGGCTCTCTGACATCCCCCGAGGAGTCCCAGATTGGGAGAGGGTGCAGGCCAGGCCGAAGGACCCCACCAGTGCACAATCTGGGCCGGGGAGAGACGCGGGAGGTTGGCCAGCCGGGGAGGGACCGTGGGAGGGCTCCAGGGTGTGTCTGTCCCATCTCCCTCAGTCTTTATCAGCTGGACCCCAACAGCAAGCTAACCTACTGGTCAGAGCATCTGCCCCCTGGTGGTCAGTGCACATCATAGCAATCAAACCATGACTACCTGGTTCGTAGGTAGATGATCAACCACTGACCCACACTGGCTGGGCAGGAGAGGCTCTTTTGGAAGGTTTCTAAGTCAAGCAGATTTCTGTCCAAGGAGACATAGATTATTAAATACATAGTCCTTGCAACCTTAGAGTCCTGGAATGGGTCTTCCACTCAAATGATTCCCAGGAGGTAACTTCCAAGAGCCAGTTTTATGTGCTGAAAAAAGTTCTTAAATCATACTTTAGACAAAGTCCAGGGAAAGGATCTTGAAAATCCATATTTAATAGAAGTATTTAGGGTGAGACTGGACACAACTAATTTGCATTGCATGTGCAGAAGAAAAAAACAGAACATGCAATATTTTGGCTTTGAATTCCTTTTATCCTTAATAAAACTCCCGAACTCACTCATAAAAGTCATGCCTTTGAATTTCTTGAATTTTGCTGATAAATATCTAACTAAATGGCCCGGCCAGTGTGGGTCAGTGGTTGAGAGTAGCCCTATGGACCAGAAGGTCACGGTTCGATTCCCGGTCAGGGCACATGCCCAGGTTGCAGGCTTGATCCCCAGTGTGGGTGTGCAGGAGGCAGCCAATCAATGATTCCCTTTCATCACTGATGTTTGTATCTCTCTCCTTTTCCCTTCCTCTCTGAAATCAATAAAAATATAAAAAATTTAACCAAATGCAAATCCACTGGGGATGGGTCTCTAAGTACCTATACAAGGCAAATTAAAGCTCATGAAAGAGCATTAATGACATAATCATGAAGTCATTTGCAACTTTATTTATTAGCTTTCTCCCAGAAGATGTGTTCTTATATAAGCAGGAAAGGCATTGTTTCTCTACTTCCTCATACCTACCCTTCCTGACTGAATAGCTCAGGTCTTTGCCCAGGTCTACCTTTTTCATGAAAACACTGTTTCTATATATTGTGAAGAAACCAAAAGAAATAATTTGGTTCATAAGGCCCTTAAACAGACTTTTGAAATATGGATAAAAAGAGGTCTGAAGCCTGTGGCAAATTCCCAAGTTGGCAGATATTATCTATACCTTACCATTTACTGAGTATAGAACAATGACTTTGTAAAGTTGATATGCCAAACACCATGAAGCTGTGTTTGTACAGGAAGCTAATAGGGCCTGGCTACTTCTTGGCTAAATGACCTGCATCCACGATCCCCAGTAGGGAGGGGGGATGGGGGGGGATGAGGGCGGTGTGTGTGTGTGGTGTGTGTGTGTGTGTGTGTGTGTGTGTGTGCAAGAGGCAGCTGATCAATGTGAGATTCAAAACAAAGCCTCAGCAAAAGAATGAAGTTGCTACACCATTAAAGTTATTCTGAAATAGTTGAAACCCTGAATGTTCAATATATAAGTACATGAAATAAGAATAAAGTTTGGCACATGAAACAGTCAAATGAACATAAATAATGGCTCCACAAACCTTCACAAGGTATAAGGTTTGACTTCCTATACTAGATCATGGCTGATTTGGCCTAGTTTTCACCCAGTCAGCTTCTACTTGATCCTTTTTTCAAGGCCTACCCCTACTCAAAAATCTTTTCTTTTCTGGTTAAATCCTTAGGTCAATGACCCCAAGGCCTCAGAATAGCCAAAGCTTACCTTGGTGTTAGTACATGCTTTCCCCTTTTTGTAGTCTTTGTGGCTGCCCCGTTTGTCCAGCTTTGCCCAGAGGGCTTTGGCTTTCCAGTAGTTGAGTTTGGACTTGAGCTTGTGATAAAAGGAGCGATAGTCCTTAGGCTTCAGTTCAAGATGGTCACAGAGCTCTTGGAAGGCCTTAAGAGTCCCCTTGCAGGTGGTAGCCTGCACAAATTGGTCAAAGAGGGTGTGTGCTTGATTCATTGTCTCATTCTTACTCTCCTCCATGCTTCCCCACCCTCAGCACCCCAGACAAAGGGGGCAGTGGGATGGCTGTTGGTCCACGACACTGTCAGATTAAACTAACAAAAATAAAGAAAAAGAAATGGTAAATCCAAATTTTATCTACAAACATTTTCTAGGAGACATAACTCTTTTTCAATGGAATTCCTAAGTGCTCTAGTCATTCATTCAACAAATGTATATTGCATACCTTCTATACTCCAGGCACTGAGGTATTAGGTAAGGAAATATTAGTTAGTACAACAAAGGATTTGCAGTTTAGTGGGTGAGACAGATTCATAAACAGAATTTTAAATGTACTATGCTAAGTGTCATTAGTGAGAGAGGCACAGGGATTGAGAACATTGAGGCAGAGTACCTAAGTCATAGGGAGAGAATCCTCATTGAAGATGAACCTGTGAGAAGTGACAGCTGAGTCTTTCAGGGTAAATAAGTGTTAGCAGATATGGAAGAAGTGTAGGACCTGGGAAAAGAAGTGAAACAAGAAGGCTTGTGAGTGACTCTTAAGGTAAAAGAGTCAAAAATGATCCCCAGGTTTCCTGGCCACTGAGTGAAAGACATCAGGCCAGTGAATTAAAAGCAGAAGAACTCATTTGTGAGGGCGGGGTGGTGAGTCACCTTTTAGACCTGATATGTTTGTGCTGCCTTTGTGGAGGTGCTCACTAAGCAGATAGGTATGAATCTGAAGCTTGGGGAGTAGCTAGGGACTCAGCCCTAGATTTAGGCATCATTAGCATACAGGTGGTAGTTGAACCAATGATAGCTGAACACAAGGAGAGTCTGTGGTAAGAGAAGAGCCATAGGCTTCCAATAAGACCTGGGACTCATAAACTTGTAAGGAGCTGGCAGAGATAGATGAGCTCTCTAGAAAAAGATTATGAGGCACAGTGAAGGGTGGTCTGAAGAGAACCAAAGAGTAGTGTCATAGCAGTCTAAAAAGCACAAAGTTCAGAAGTATCAAAGTCAACAGGGATTTAAAGACTGAAAAAATCCTGCCACTGCATATAGTATATGGCAGGGTGGGAAGATCTTATAGCCATTCCACTTTGCCCACCGATATATTTGACAGTAATAATGATGATGTCTATACCTTCCACTTATCAAAAACATCTATCCATACACCCACCATCCTGTGTTTGCTGGGAAGAAGCTTTAAGATGAGAGATGGTATGTTAGGTGCTACTTTATCCACTCACTCCCTTGGGTCTTTTTCATAATTTTTGTACCGTGTTTTATTTATCATCACTCTTTAGAAGTATAATGGGGGCGAGGGGGAGGCGTAAGGAGGCAAAGGACCAAAGACCAAAACTAATCCATAGGAAGAACAGAAAGGGAGAGCAAGGCAGTAAGACTCTCTTCTAATTCTGAAGTTTTCTAATTTTAGTGCTAAGAATACCTTCATGGTCACAGTACTCATTTCTGGTGCTGTAGTCATGATGGTCCACCACAGGGGCATCACCAATTTACCACTAGTGTGATAAACAGGACTACACTGGAACTTTGCTTTAAAGAGGATTTACTATTGGAGATGGGGGCAGGTGGAAGAAGTGAGTTGTTGATCCACTGTGTTCAGCTGTAGAAGTAACCCACTGTTAATGAACCAACCCAAGGGTAGTGGGAACCACCAAACTGTATGTGCTAATAAAATCAATTCTCAGAAGACAGGCACCAAATTCCAGACTGAGAACACAGGAAGAGATCCATGTTCTCTCCTGAAGCTCTTACACTGAGTAGGCCTCTGAGGAACAGAATCCCGTTTGTGAAGTAGAAGTAACATACTGCTTCTCTCCAAAGCTCACCATGATATCATAAGGTTAACCAAATCAACTGAAAATGTATCTTAAGTTTCATGAGTGAAAGTTAATAATTGAATACAAGGAACAGCCATTTCCCTCTGTTTTCTATGTCAACCGATGCATACTCTTTATATACTGTGGAGGCCAAGTCAAAGACGGTAATTCTTTTTGTTTTTTGGTGGCTTCTTTTTAATTTTTTTTAAATTAAATCTTTACTGTTCAGATTTTTACAGTTGTTCCTCTTTTTCCCCCCATAGCTCCCCTCTACCCGGTTCCCACCCCACCCTCTGCCATTACTCCCCACCACTGTCCTCATCCATAGGTGTATGATTTTTTCCCAGTCTCTTCCCGCACTCCCCACACCCCTTTCCTCCCAAGAATTGTCAGTCCACGCCCTTTCTATGCCCCTGATTCTATTATATTCACCAGTTTATTCTTTTCATCAGATTACTTATTCACTTGATTTTTAGATTCACTTATTGATAGATATGTATTTGTTGTTCATAATTTGTATCTTTACCTTTTTCTTCTTCTTCCTCTTCTTAAAGGATACCTTTCAGCATTTCATATAATACTGGTTTGGTGGTGATGAACTCCTTTAGTTTTTTCTTATCTGTGAAGCTCTTTATCTGACCTTCAATTCTGAATGATAGCTTTGCTGGGTAAAGTGATCTTGGTTGTAGATTCTTGCTATTCATCACTTTGAATATTTCTTGCCACTCCCTTCTGGCCTGCATAGTTTCTATTGAAAAATCAGCTGACAGTCGTATGGGTACTCCCTTGTAGGTAACTAACTGTTTTCCTCTTGCTGCTTTTAAGATTCTCTCGTTGTCTTTTGCTCTTGGCATTTTAATTATGATGTGTCTTGGTGTGGTCCTCTTTGGATTCGTCTTGTTTAGCGTTCTCTGCGCTTCCTGGACTTGTAAGTCTATTTCTTTCACCAGGTAGGGGAAGTTTTCTGTCATTATTTCTTCAAATAGGTTTTCAATATCTTGCTCTCTCTCTTCTTCTGGCACCCCCATAATTCGGATGTTGGTATGCTTGAACTTGTCCCAGAGGCTCCTTACACTATCTTCATATTTTTGTATTCTTTTTTCTTTTTGTTTTTCTGTTTGGGTGTTTTTTGCTTCTTCGTATTTCAAATCTTTGATTTGATTCTTGCGATCCTCTAGTCTGCTGTTGGATCTCTGTATATTATTCTTTATTTCAGTCAGTGTATGCTTAATTTCTAGTTGGTCCTTGTTCATATCCTTGAGGGTCTCACTAGATTTATGGAGGGTCTCACTAAATTTATCAGCGGTTTCTAGAAAATTCTTGAAAAACCTTATAACCGTGGTTTTGAACTCTATATCCAGTAGTTTGCTTTCCTCCATTTCTGTCATTTGTGACCTGTATCGTTGTCTCCGCATTTTGGCTGCTTCCCTGTGTTGATAGAATGGCTTTGTGTGCTAGGTGTCCTATAGGGCCCAGTGGCTCAGCCTCCCCAATTACCTGAGGTGGACACTCTTGGTGCACCCCTTTGTGGGCTGTGTACACAGTCTTGTCGTAGTTAAGCCTTGATTGTTGTAGGTATCACTGGGAGGAATTGGCCTCCAAGCCAATTGGCTGTGAGAATCAGCTATGTTTACGGTGGGAGAACTTCTGTGCTGGAGACACCCTTCTGGGGCAAGACTTGCTTCAGTGGGGCTTTGGTGCTCACTGAGTCTGCCCTCTGAGTGTGTCCCTTATGGATCTGAGGAATTGTAATCTGGATGGTCCCACTCTGACCACTGGGTACACTGGCTCTTGGATCTCTAAGGAGGTGCTAATTTAGCCTCTGCCTGAGGCTACCCAGCAGGAGCTACGGAGAGATCTGCAGATTCCTCTTCTTTGTTTGGGGTTTGGAGGTGCCCATATGAGGCCCAGCTGTGAAGCAATGCAAGCTGCTGTGGGGCCCTGGGCCTTCTTTTGGATGTTCTGGGTCTCTCTGACCCAGCTGCAGTTTGTTAGGTAATTTTATATTGCAAAGGGACAGGCCTTTCATATGCTAAAGCCTCTGCGCACAGCTTGGGTGGGGTGGGGTCTCAGGGAATCAACAGGGCGGAACAAACAGCTATGGCTGATCCTCAGTCCTGCCTTAAGAGGCCCCGGGTCTCAGTGTCCCGTGGTAATCGCTGCAAGCACCTCTGAGAGAAAGCCGCCTTCGAGTTCTGCCCGCTGCCAGACAGTTCAGTTTCTCCCCGTATGAGTCTGGGTCCCCAGAGACTCGCCTGGAACTGGAGTTCAGAGCAGTCGTAGCTCAAGACTCCCTCCTGATTGAAAAAGACAACCGTGTCCTCAGTTGCCAGCCCTTTCCGTGTGCGCCTCCGTACCTCTGCACTTTACTTCCGCACCTCCTCTGAGTCTCAGTGTGCTTTTTCTCTTTCCTTCTAGTTGTAGAATTTCCACTCAGCCAGCCTTCCTGTGGTTCTGGATGATGTCCGTTTTGTCTTTTAGTTGTATTTTTGAAGTGGTTGTGTGAGGCAGCAATTTCAGGTGTTTACCTATGCCGCCATCTTGGTTTCTCCAAGACGGTAATTCTTTACCCAAAATACACTGACTTGGCTTCTCCTCCCAAATATATCACTTACTCAACCCCTGTAGCTTTGGATATAAAAACTACACTACTAAGAAACTTCCAATATCTACCTGGCCAAGAATCCAGTAAGGAGTGGGATTAACTGGAATTCATCTCCAATTTCCCCTAAATAAAAGTTTATTCTAGGTAGACATAACAGAAAGAGAAATATTTTAAAGTTCCTCTAAAGAGTCCATTCTTTTTCTTACAAATCAAGGCTTATCTTAGAAATGATAGTCAATAGATGGCTGTAGGGGCAGGAAAAAAACAAGTGTTTGTCCAAAGGCAGAAGGGTGACAGGTCATAACTAAGGACTAGAAACAAAGGTCCTAGAGTGTTTGCTCTGCCAAGGGCCCTCTCTGTGGATATTTCTATAGCTTTATTTGCTGTTCTGGCAAGCAGACAGCACTCTGCAAGCCACTTGCATACCCTACCTGTGTTCATCATTAACTTTACGTCCACCAGAGTCACAATGTTTGGAAAGCTTTAATACACCTGGTCTAATCTCTCTGCCTTGTGTCAAGAAAGAAAATGATTTGTTGTTGTTGTTGTTGTTGTTCCTAAGTAGCAGCCACCTTCCACTCCTTGCCAGAATTGGAGCACTCAGTACTATAATTTTCTTGCTAAAACCAACACATTAAAGATCCTGCAATATGTGTTTCCAAAA